GCAGTGATACCCAGCCATGTAAATAATCATCGGGGTTTGGTTCTGTTTGCCCAGGATTGCCCTGGGCGCACACAGGCACGTGCTAGCTCAAGGACCGAGCTTGGACTTTCTGCCCTTTTCAAAATAAGGGCAGGGTTTGACCAACCGAGCTGTGAAGTCCCAATTTAAAAGGTTTTTTCTCTCGAAGCCTTGTGCTGTAGCAACTGGACTGAAATAGGGGAACTTGCCTAAAGAACTTGCCTGCAGCTTACCTGAAATAAGGTTGCAGTGACGAGCCTAAATTAGATTGCTGATTTCTTTTTCTTTTTTTGCTCACTAATTAGAACAACCCAGCCTGAAAAATTAATGACTGGGGAGTCTGTTAGTAAATGCCTCACACCCACCTTACCTGCAGCCATGCAGGGAATTTCGGAGGCATGGGGCTAATGGCAAGGGCTGATGATAGCTTTATCTGTTTCTCCTTAATAAGGAGCCACAAGTGCCAGGGTCTCCGTTAGCTGCTTCTTCCAGAACAGGCTCCTTCCACGGCAGGGTAATTACTCTGCACGAGTGTTTTCTGCAGGGCTTTGTGGAACAGCTGCTTTCTGAATCGTTTTCCTGATGCCTGCACATTTTTAGAAGGGAGTTTTCTTTGTCACAGCGCTCTGCGCCCATCTCGCCCTGCTGTGGAAGCTCGCACCGGGGAACGCTGCAGGCAACGGGCGATAAATTCAGAGCTGGGTTCTGGAAAACACTCGAATCATCTTGCCGCCGTTGGCTCTTCCTCTAAGAAAAGCATTAATGCCACTTGTTTCAAAGGCAGGGGGGTGGCAGGTGCCTGTAACGCTGTGCCTTTCAGGATGGAGAAGGACTGACTTCATAGAGCTCCTTGAGTTAAAGTTTTAGGGTGGATTAGCTCTGAACAGCCTTGGGTTTGGGTGCTCCTACATCTCCCTACATGCTGTAATTCTGTTGAACATGCTGTAATTCTGTTGATGTGATGCTTTTAAGAAAAATGGCAAAAAAATGTTATATCTACGTTCCCAGATACGTTTCCATTTGGTACCTTTGTATTTAGAAGTGGGAAGACGTCTCGTGAAACCTTGAGTCCCGGTGTATGCTTTGAATTTTAGCTTATTAGTGACAATTGTCTTGGGGTTGAAGAATATTTGGCTGTTGTCAAGAGATGCCCTGATGGTAAAACTAATTCCTGTACATCTCTGGCAGTGCTCGTGCTGTTTTGTAGCTGGAGCTGTCGCAGAAACAGAGGTGGGTCCACTTTAGAAATAAATTCTTGCTGCTGTGATAAGGAGAAATTAGCAATGACAAAAACTGAGCTTGGCCATCCTAGTAAGTGTACGTGACGGCTTGGAGATGTCTTATTTTTGTGAAAGGAGAGTTTAAGAACAGCAGCGATGTGACTTGCTCTTAGGATAATTTAGTAGTTCATAAGTGTAAATATTGTTAAAATATCAATGTACTTTTGGAAGCTCGTTAGTGTATTGAAATGCCTCTGGGGATGGTAGCCCTGATCATATTGTGACGTGGAAAACATGCTAGAAATTCAAGTTGTGGTCATGACTTCTGGGCAAAACCCCTGATTTACTGAAAACTTTATTGTAGTGAGATGTCGGAGTGGAACGAGTAGGGTACTGTACTGGGACCAGTAAGATAGTACGTGGCTCAATGCTTAGATAAACTGACTCCACGTGCTTTTATCTGTAGGTAAAGCATCTAAACCCAGTTTCAGAGTGGCTGTAGAGCCAGTTAAGGACTTGTTTGTTGCCATTTGAAAGGGTTGCACCAGAAAATGTCACGGTGATGCCAGGAGGCGGGCATCACTTGGTGTTCTGGCAGAGCTCCGAGAGCTGGATGGAGTTTTGGGGTTATTTATGAATGCCTTGGTTATATACGGAAACCTCTGAGAAGGGGAATAGTGGTCATGGGGCTGTATGTAATGCCAGCTGTATGGCTTGGGACTGGAGTTCTGCAGGGCAGCATCGGATCATGAAGGTAGCATATTGCTGCTGTCCCCTTTTGCTTTCACATATCTGCACTCAATTTGTTGGTGTGATGGGCTCTGAAGGCTTGCTGTGACCCAAATTCAGCGCTTTCCTTCCCAATATAGCCACGGACTTGCAGCAGCTGTCAGCATTTCACTCCAGCACCTTGAAATCTGAATTTATACTTGGTGGAGGCGAAGGTTTGTGTTGTCTTGGCCTCCAGCTGTTTGCTCCAAGACTGGCTCTACCCGGTTACCTTTTGGGTTTTGCTGCTGTTTTAAAGGAAAATCTCACTCGTGTGTTTGCTGTCCAGCAAAGCGTGGTCCCCTCTGGGTGTTCCCCTATTCACTCTTTTCCCCCACGTGATTATTCACTGCAACCCAAACAGTTTGTGCCTCCAGATTCCCCTAAGGTACGTGGTTAAAGTGGATGCAGCAGCTCCTGAAGGATTCAAGGATCCTCCTCCACAGGGGGAGCACGGGGTGCTGAGCTCCAGCATGCTCCTAATTTTTTGTCCCCTTTGCCAAGCCAGTGTGCGGGGCCGTGGTGAGCCTGCCCTCCTGTTTTAGCATCTTAGCGAAGAGAAGGTGATGATACCAGCCCTCCCAGCTTCACCCCAATCCTTGTTGTAGGGTTTCTACCTCCCACTTGCATAATCCTGAATCTTTTACCGCTGTAGACAAGCAGCAGGTAGCTGGGGAGTCTTTTATTTCCCCTGTGTAGCAGGACAGAGAGGGAAGTGAACTTGGATAATGCAGTAGTAGCTCATGAGAGTGCATGTTTAGGACGTGATTTCTCTTTTATGGAAGAAATTGAAGGTTCTTAGGCAGCTCTGATATTTTGTGCGAGTTTTTTTCACGTGACTTGGATCCTCTGGTTCCCTTTCAAATAGATCCTGGTCTTGTACCACATCTTGTAGTCCTGGAGCTTCACCCTGGGCTTTAGCCCCACCAGCATCAGAGAGAGAAAAGCCTTGAATAAACTTTCCTAAATCCTGTCCCCATCCCCTGTCGCCCCCAAGTCCCTCTGCAGCAATTTGAAGGAGAAGCCAACTGGGCTCAAACTCCTAAATATATCAGGGCTGTGCAGCACAATCGACTATCAGACCACGTCTCATGGCCTTAAAGCTTGTTAGAACCTAAAAATGCTTTCAGCTTTCTTGTGGGGTGATTAAGGGAATTTTAGCTACATTTTTAATTAACACAATGGTGGGAAGGCCAAACCAAAACGATGACCCCAATGGTTGCAGTCATCTCAACTTCCCAAATACCAGTGGGCAGGTTTTTTCTCCCCAGTGATGAGAAAATAAACATTAAATAACCTGACTTTGTAACGAGCTGCCCAAGGGATTGAATCAATTCATATTTCACGGTGTAGAAAAGTGCTGCAGCGTGTGACCGGGTCTGTTCACTGAAGAACCTACTTTGAGGCTGAAAAGTGACTTTTTTTTTTTTTTTTTTGAAGCCTAGAAAAAAAAACAACAATCAATCTCAGCTCTTAAGAGGCAAGTGTCTTTTTATCAATCTCTGCTTCCTCAGCTGCAAGGCAGTGGCTTGACTTAATTTCCCCTCTTGTCTGCGGTGGTAAGTGGAAAGGGACACCAGCAGGGGATGCTGAATTTCCTCGCTTCCTCCTCCTCCTTAGCCTTCCTCCCTCTCTCTCCTTCCCGTTGATGTTTTGACAGGCCAAGCACCTTCACTTCTGAAGCTGTGGTGCTGGAAAACAAAAAAAACTGGCAAGTAGGAGCTGTTCCTAACCACCAAAGCTGTATTTCCAGCGGGAAGTGATGGGATGCTGGGGAGACCTTCAGCCAGAGCAAAGAGCTCGGTTAAACAAATGCACCTGGTGGGTGCAAGCTTCATTCCTGGGCTGTGGGCATTCCCCATCCTACCCCTTCCAGCTAAATGGGTTATTTCTGTTCAGCCTGGGCTGTTCGTTTGCTTCCTTGGCGTAATTAAGTCACCTTTGGTCCTTGCTGGGTTGACGTGTGAGCCTCATGCTGTACCTGGGACAAGTGCTGCGAGGAACACCTACTGTAGTTACGTTGTATGTAATGTACATAAGGAGAGAATGTATTTTGTTCATTTTTCTTAATAAAAATGTATATGCTAGCAGGGGTGTTTATCTTAGATCTGTTCTAACAGCGCTTGCTTCAGAAGGTGGTAAAAAGAGCCGTGAGCACCTCATATGAGCGGTGCCGGAGCTGTGAAACCAGGGAGGAACGGGCAGCTGGAACAGAGGCTGATGCAAAACACTGGCTTTTAATACTTAAATTCTTTTTTTTTTTTTTCCTCTCCCCCTTGCATAATTGGAAACTTGCTCCATCCAACCTAGAACAAAACCAAAACGTTTTATTTGGGGCACCTGGAGGCAAATGGAAATGCTGCGGGCTGCCCCTCCTTTGGAGGATGCTTGGCACGGGATCACCAGCTTTGCTTTCGCAGCCTGACCCAACCGTGAGGTGGGTGAAATGCAGAATTAGGGGCACTAATTGGGGGCCTCCCCCTTTCCTCCTTGCTCAGAGGTACCCACGAATGCTGTAGCTGCTTTGGCTACCCGGGCATCTCCACCTCAGATGGTTGCACACCATGCACATGCTGGCACTGCGGTGCTTAGCGTAGGTTTGGCTGGCCTTCTGGGGTCTTTTAAAGGCACTGGGAACTTTCTAAAGGCACTGGGGACTCCAACAGGCTGCGATGGGTCTGCCTCACCCCCACCAGCTGAGCATCCCTCCCTTTTGGGTTTCCTCCCCTTAATTAAGGGCAGGTCTTCATCACTATCCTGTTTTTTTTTTGGCACAGCAGAAATGCAAGCTGGGCATCCCTGAAGGCCTGGGCTGATTTTCCTCCTGCTCATCCCAATGTTTTAACATCTTCCTGCTGGTGGGACCATCCAAAACCTGTGCTGGGTCTCCAAACGAGCTCAAACTGCAGCAGCCCTGCTGGTCCTGGAGCCCAAACCCTGCACCCACCCCCCACACCCAGCACCCGCCGTTCCCCCAGCCAAGAAACCAGCCTGTTCCATACGAACCTTTATTGACAGAAATACATGATGCTCTCAAAATATATATATTTGTAGGAAAATGCCAGAAGAATCTCCGCGATCCAGTTAAATCCTCGGTTAAATTCCAGTGTACGTCAGACTCCTGTCCCCGCGGGAGGCAACGGCGAGAGCCGCGGGAGGCGTGCGGGGCTGGGTGGCTGCGTCCTCCTCGGCGGGGCCACGGCGCCGTGAGCGGGAGAAAACTGATCCTAAACCTATGTCCACCCTCCCGGAGGGTCTGCGAGTGGAGACGTCTCCTTGCGAGAGCATCCCAAAGGCTCGCCAGGAGGCAACGAGTCCCCATCGCTTCGCACGGCGGCTCCCACCTTAAAGCTGTGGTAGGGGAAGAGGAGAGAAGCCAGGGGAAGAGGGGAGAGGGGCAGGGAGGGAGGAAATGCCTGGGGAGATTATTTTTTTTCTTTTCTTTTCTTTTTTTCTTTCTTTTTTTTTTGGTCTAACAGTCATGGCTACGGTCTACGAAGGGAAGTATTAAGGCCAGAGATGCTCGTCGCTGCATTTCCTACCTGATTTATTTTATTTATTTTTGCAAAAAAAAAGAATGTTACCAACATAAAAACTTACTGTTTTTTTTTCTTTTCTTTTTTTTTCCAAGGAAATAGTTCTTTAAATAGGGGAAGGAAGATCTACTATAAAATATTAGTGGTTTAAAAATATGGTGTCTGGAAAAATAAATAAATGTACAATTCCTATTCAAATATAAATCACTATAAGCACTTGCCGAGCAGTCGATATCTCCACCGGTCTCTGCTCTGAAAGATTTTAAGGTTGCTTGACCTCAAGCCTTTGTAGGGTTCTCTTGGAAAGTCTTTGGACCTGACTCCTTAAAGCACTTTGGCATCTCTGCCCCGGGAAGGGGATCCTGGGCTTCTGCCGGCTGCCAAGGACCGAGCCGCGAGGTCGCCGAATTGGGGCACTCGATCCGGGAAGCAGCTGCGAGCTTCGTTAAGGGTTCGTTAAGGCTTGTTGGGATGTTAAGGAGCCGAGCTCGCTGCCACCCATGCGGAGGCACCGGCCCTGGGCTGTCCAGCTCCAGCAGGGAGGCGTTTTCCTGCTTCGTGGCGAGTTTTTGGTCCCCTCCCAGATTGGCCTTTAGCTTTTTTTTTCTTCTTTTTTTCTTTTTTTTTTTTTTCTCTGATTTTTTTTTTGTTTCCCCCCTCCAAAATCACTTCCCCGTAGTGCGGTGCACAGATGATAAGTGAAGTGCGCTGAGTACATCGCTAATGGGCAGCAGGAGTTATTTACAGACAAAAACCAGATAGGCTCCAACGCTTCCAACTGTCCGTCAGTGCAGGAGCGAAGGGAGAAGAGCTGGCCCAGAGGACGCGAGGCATCTGCCATCCCTTCTGCTTTACCCAGCTTCGGGGACGGCCACGGGAAGGGGTCCCCGTGGTGTTAACCCGAAGGAAACCTCCTCCTTGATGGGAGCAAGGCAGGAGGACCCTGCTTGGGTGCTGTGCTGCGTCCCAAGCTCTGCAACCTCCCCATCCCTCCAGACCCAGCGAGGAGCTGGGATGGGAAGGGGAAAACCAGGAATGCCTCAGTCCAGCCACTTTCTGCTCAGATTTTTGCCCCCCTCTAAAGATTTACTGCGAAGGGAGCCCTTGAGGGGAGACTGAGGGCTGTGGGATGAGGTTTGGTGAGCTGAGCTGGAGGCTGCTCTGCGCATCGCTGCTCCTTCGGCCGCTTGCTCAAGAAGAAAGGAGAAGCTTGAGGATGTGGATTGAGCTGATCAGCCTCGTGGGGAGGAAACACCAAGGGCTGGGAGGGTGGAAAGCTGCCTCCGAGCCACCTGGCTCGCGCTTCTGCTGTTCTTTTATCTCTTCTGCGGCTCACGCAGGACACTGTGACCCCCCAAAAATTGCTGTGCACGTTGCCACCAGCCCTGGCAGAGGATGTGTGGTGCTGCTGCAGCGTTCCTGGCAGGTGATCAGATGCTTCCAGAGGTAAATCCAGCCGCAGAGCTGGGCTGGGCTCCTTTACAGCAGAATAAAACCAACACAACTCACAACTGTGCGCCTGGGCTGGCGATCGGGCACCGCTCCAGGTCTCTTTAAACGCTTCCTCAGAAGGATGAAATCAAGGAGTGATTCCTTTTCCTCTCCCTTTAACATTAAAGCAAAATCTTCTGCATCCTTCCCGTCACCTTTCCTGGTCTGGAACAAGAAATTGCCCCAGCCCTGGAGCCCGTTGTGGGGCAGCTGAAGGCAGGGTGGGATTTGGCATCCCCGGGCATTTGCTTGTGCCCCAAAGCGCGGCCGTGGCGCGTTTTCATCCAGCAGCTCAGCAGGGATGGGAACTGGCTGGAAAGGGAGCAAAGGGGCTGGTTCGGCTCCTCCTGCTCCATACCTGGGCATTCTGCAAGGGAAGGGTGTAGGGGAGGGCAGGGTGATGATTAAAAACCATGGGCTGGAGGAATTTTGGAGCTCTGGTTTCCGGGTTTGCTGTTGGGGGCTGCGCTCCGGTTCCCATCCTCGTGGTATTTCTTTTCATTTTTGGGGTCGCTCAGTAGCTGGAGGCTGCTTTTGGATGGATGGGAGGGAACACAGCATCCCTGCTGGGAAAAAAACCCCTCGGGCATCCCTGCTTGAAGGAGAGCAGGGCAGCAAAACCGTCCCCTTCACCCCTTTGGGTCCCATGGGGTTGGTCCCGAGGAGCACCCATGGGTGACGGAGCCGCTCGTCCCGATGCGGGTGCTGTGGTGACCACGGAGCTCTCTGCTCGCATCCCTCCCCCTGCCATCCTGCACCCCACCTGGTGGCTGTGATGAGCTCACAAGGGATTTTCTGGGAATTTTGAGTTGTTTTGGAATTGTGCGTGTGTATGGGGGGGTTGTGGTTATTTTTTTTTTAAGGGGAGTTGGGGGTTTCTGGGGGGTGTTGTTTCTTGCGGGATCAAGTTCCGTATCCTATAAATGCGTGTCCTCCTCTTCCTCCAGGTCTTCCTTCATGATGGTGTCGAGAGGGACGATCCAGCTGTCGCCCAGCTCCCCGTTGAGGTTCACCTTCTTCTCCTGCATCTCCGAGCAGGTCTCCATCACCTCCAGCGTGGGGTTGTCGTGGTAGCCGTTCTCCATCGTCTGCAGCTCCTCCGTCAGGCGCTGCTGCGAGGAAGGGAAAACCCAGAAAAAATAATAAAAAAAAAGGTGAGAAAGAGCTCGGCCATGCCCTACGTGCCCCCTCGGGTCCTCTCCTGGCAGTATTTTCAGCCTCCCAGCCCAACGAGGCTGCTGCTCGTGGAGGGAGGCTCCATGGGGCAGCAGGGGCTGGGGGCTGCAGGCAGTGCCGGCACAGCAAGGGGGGAGCACGGGGCTGGAGGCAGAGGCTGCCGGTGATGGAAGGGGGGGAGAGAACAGCCAGAGACCTGCAGAAAACCTCCCCAAGAGGCAGCTGGGGTGACGTGGCTGTGTCCCCACATCACATCAACCTTGGGAGGAGGCCAGCACCAAAGTCTGAGCATCCTTGGCTCACCCCAACCCTGAATCCCTGCTCCTGCCTCCCCAGCTCCCCTTTCTGCCTGCTTTGTCCCTTTATTTTTATTCTCCTTTCACCCCCCTGACATCTCCCAGCTTGCAGATGCCACCAGTCCATCTCTCCCTGTATCAGCATCACGCCCGTGCCCTGTCCTGGAGAGCTCCTGGTGGAGAACCCTCCCCTCCTTCCCTTTGCCCACGCACAATTTTGGCTGGGGCATCATCTCCCCCTCCTCAAAAGGGCTGATTCAGGGATGAATCAGGCACTGAATCACCTGGTGCTCGGATCCTTGCTAATCCCAGCCCTGTGGGTGCTTTCCTTTCATCTCCACTGCCAGCAGCATCCCCACCTCGTCCCAGTCCCAATTCACCACGGGCGGCTCCTTCAGCCCCATCCCAACCCCTGGGGATTTACAGGGGTTGTGTTTACAGACTCCTGTGTTCCCTCTCTTATTTTTTTAGGGTTTTCTGTGCATGTCCTCCTGGCCGTACGGCCGCTTCATCGCTCCTAACAAACGCTGGGAAGGGAAAAGAATGGAGAAGCGAAACCAGAGGGCTCGGCGCGAGCAGGCACTGCAGGAGCGGGCAGCGGAGCTGGAGGGGATGCGTGGAAGCAGGGGGGGACCCTGAGCCCTCAAGGTTTGGGGGGGATGCTGGTAAACCCCCCCCAGGTCCAGGGATGCTGGTAAAACCCTCCCAGGTCAAGGGATGCTCAGGCAGTGCTCTCTCCCCACCGTGGTGTTGGCACCCACAGCGAGGGGCAGGGGGCTTCCAAGCTGGGCTTTAGTAGGCTTTAGTCTTGTTAAAAGCTGCCAACCATCACGGGGGGGGAAAAAGCTGGGGAGCTGGGGGGGTTACAGCTGCGGCACCCACCCCTGCGTTGAATTTAACTCACATTAAAGATCAGGATGGCACGTCCATCATCAAACCCGGGGAGGTCAGGGTGGATGTGCTGCTTATTTCCAAGGTGAAACAACAGCAGGGTTTGAAAAGGGGGGGGAGGGGGGAAGGGAGAAAAATAAAAGGGAAAAAAAAAACAAAAAACACAACACAACAAAACTTTCAAGTCATTTTTGAAAAGCAGCAGGAGCGAAATTAAAAAAAATAAAAATGGAAAAAGCGTCCAAAAAAAAAAAAAAACAAATGCAAAAAAAGGAGAAACGCCTTTGACTTCCTAAGCAAGCAGTCGGAAAAAAAAAATCTGTCCCCGTGCTCCCCTTCTCCTTTGGTGCCATATTTATTTTTCGTGATCGATCTTTTGTTTCTTTTTGGGGTGGGAGGGTGAAGGGGAGGAGGGGATGGGTTTGGAGGGGGGCGGATTTGGGTTGAGAAAGGCTCATCAAAATTATGCCTGGACCTGAGGACGCTGCTCAGCTGCCCTGGTGGTTGCCCTTGGTCCCCATCCCAAAAGCATCCATGGCATTTGGGCACCTTGCATTGAGATTTTGGATGGCAGCTCCTTGAGTGGCACCAGCAGGGAGGTCTCCACCAGCAGAGGAGCAGCTCGGGTGCTCCTCGCCTCCCCGAGGTGCCCCTGGGGCAGGGATTTGTCTCGGGGTGCCCGTCCCATCCCTCCTCCCACCTCACCTGGTTCTTCTTTTGGGAGAAGCGCTGGTGGCAGCAGCCGTAGATGGCCGCCACCAGCAGCAGGGAGCAGGCCAGGGTGATGATGGTGATGATGAGGGGCGTGCTGAACTGGTCCTTCACCTCCTCCTCCATCTCCTGGTTGAGGTAGGTGACATTGACGATGCCCAGCTGTGGAGGGAAGGACGGGGTCAGGATCCCAGGTGGGGTGGCCACCCTGTGCCAGCCTCCTTCGGGGCCATCCCCACGCCGTGCTTGGGGAGCTGCTTACCTTCTCGAGCTCGTTCCTCTTCTCCTTCAGCTCCTCGAAGACGTCTTCGGGTTGTAAAAGGCCTGGGGGAAGGCAGAAGCTGCAGTGAGCACGGGGATGGAGAGGGGATGGGTTGTGCCACCACCTCCTCCTTAAGGGAGGAGCCCCATGGAGGGACCTTGAGGGTCCCTCTAAAGCCAGCCAAAAAGACCCAAATCGCTCCTGGAGATCTCATCAAGGGAGCTATGGGGGAAAGGCTTGACCCCAAACCCAAGCAGGGGGTGACACCACCACGGTGGGACCCCAAGTGGGTCACGTCCTGCTGTGGGAGAGAGGCTGCCCCATTCCCTCCCTTGGGTGTCGTTTTGGGGATGGGGGCTGTACCCGGTGGGTCAAAGCCCACATGGGGAATGCTGGTGGCTTGTCCCCACTGTCCCCTATGCAAACACCCATGGGCAGAGCTGGATTTACCCCAAGGGCTCAGACATGGCCAAGAAGATCCCCTCCATAGTCTTTTGGGGAAGGATTGGAGCTGGGCACTGGGTTTTGAGGATGTGGGAGGTGTTTTTCTGCTGGAGACTGGTCCCCGCTTTGATTTACCATGGACAAGGAGAGGGATGTGGTGGGCTCAAGGCTTCACTGATGACCAAAACTCATCTGTTGTGCCTCTCCCACGCCCATGAGAAAGGGCAACCCAAGGAAAGCAGACCCTGACCGGGCTCTGGTAGACCCCCCTGAGCCTCCCCACACCCGTGTCCCCCCAAAACCCTCCCCAAAGCAGGGTTTTGGGCCACACTCACGGTGCACCACCGCGTGCACAGCCCAGCGCTGGGGCGTGGAGGAGGCCAGCGTCACGGTGCACTTGTCCCTGTGGACGTCGAACGCCTGTCGCCCTATGGAGCAGAAGAGCTCGAAGAAGGACTCGTTTCTGCTGGCAGCCGTCCAGTCGGTCTGCGGGGACAAAAAGGGGCTTGGCACCGCTGTCCATGCACCCAGAGACCCGCAGCATCTTGCCCCTTCCCCAGGGTGGTGGGGTCATGGCACGGCTGGGGATGGAGAGGACCTTCGAGGTCACCAGCCACCACCCCGACCCACCACGTCCCATCGCTAAACCACGTCCCTTGGAGCCACCTCTGCTCATCTCCTAAATATTTCCAGCCCATCCTGCTGCTTGAGCACCCTCTCCGTGAAGAAATCCAATCTAAGCCTCCCCTGGCACAACGTGGGACCGTGATTTCGGATGTTGCAGCTGGAGCCATCCCTCCTCCTCCTCCTCCTCCTCCTCCTTGTCCGGCCGCTGCCGGCCCTCCCAGGGAACAGGAAAAGTTCAAAAGTCGTTTCTTTAGGAAAAGCCGAGCTCTTGGCTGCCGTTCCTCACCGGGGCCCTGCGCTGGTCTTATCTGCGAGCTGCAGCTTTTGGTGTTCCAGGAATAGCAGGTCCCCGAGGGAAGCGGGGTGGGGAGCTGAGGCCACAGCGGGAAAAGGACAGGGCTGTGGTGCCCCAGGGGCATCTGCATCCCTCCCACCAGCTGCATTTCTACCCTCTGGGCATTCCCTGGGGTTCTGGAGATAGTTAAAAAAGGGGTTGGCTTCTGTATAAACGGGAGCATCGCTGGAGGAGTGAGGCTGGGTGGGACTGGAGGGATGACTGCGGAGGGGTGCACGGAGCCCTCGGCCCCTCTGGGGTGCTCCTGAGACCCTCTGCATCTGCCTGGTGCTCTCCAGCAGCTGGGAGATCACCAAAATACGCCTGATTGCTCTGCAGCCTGCATGCAGAGATGCTGTGTGCTCAGATCCTGCACAGCAGCGTGCACAAATCCTGCACGAGCAGCTCCTGGCGTGCACAAGGTCTGGGTTGCAGAGATGCTTCACGCAGAGCTCCTGGGCACGCACGGATCCTGTGGGTACAATCCTGCATCCACGGGAGCTGCATGCATGGCTCCTACACCGAGATGCTGTGTGCACAGACCTTTGTGCACAAATCCTGCACGTGCAAGTCCTGCGTGCATGGGAGCTGCATGCCCAGGTCCTACACGCACAGATCCTGCATGCACAAACCCCTCCTTTGGAGATGCTGTGTGCTGCATGACCCTGCACGCACTCATCCTGCATGCACAGCCCTTGCATGCAAAAATTTTTCTTGCACACCCTTTGCATGTGGTGGGGCAGAAGGCTGGTCCCGGGTGCAGCGTGAGGGCGAGCTCGGCACTGGGAATTTTTCCCTTTCCATTTGCAAGGGGAAAAAGCTTCTCCCTTTGAGCTGTCCTGGCTGCATCCCCAGCAGCATCAGGGAAAAAGCTGCAGGCAGCAGGATGAGGCAGCAGGGGAGGGCAGAGAGGCCTTGGCTGGCTCGGGGTGCTGTTTTTAGCCTGCTCGGACGCTGGGCTGTGCTCCTACGCTTTGCACGTCCTGCAGCTCTCGGTCCCTGAGCACGCACAGCACTTTCTGTTTGGCAGCAGCCTTAAAAGCCTCTCTGCTGCCTCCCTGCAAAGCCTTCTCTGGGGTTTCCCTCAGTTCCCAGCACTGTTCCTCCTCCTGGAACCTCATGAAGAAGCAAAAACCTTTAAAACTCTTTTTTTTTGGGGGCGGAGAGCATAAACCCTTGCATTTTAAGGATGATAAGCACCGAACCGCTTTGCTGCTGGCTGTCCAGCGATGCCTACACCCCGTAACGTGCTGATCAGGAGGGATTTGCCCTTTCCCAGCAAGGGGACCAGGGGGATGCCCCGGTGGTGCCCCGGCCTCGCGCCCTCTCCCCTGCCGGAGCCGCTCGCATTCCTTGGCCGGAGTTGAGAGGCGCTGCCGAGCGGCGCGGATCCGGTTCCCACACTGGCGGGGACCTAAAACCAACATCCCCGGGTGAGGTAACGGCACTTGAGTCAACAAACAGCCGGGTGGGGTGAGCGGGGGGCACGACCCTGCTCGGCACGGGGTCCTGTGGCCCCTTGGGGACCGTCCTGAGCCCGGAGAGGTCAGAGAGGTTGGGGTACGGGGGTCTCGCCGTGCGTTTTGCTGGCTGGAGCGGGTTGTGGTGCCCACCCTGGTATCCTCCAAGCTGGGAATATCCATGTCCCAGCTGGGGATGTGGTGGAGGAGCCCTGGGAGGTGGCTGTGGGGTCGTTGTGGCCCTGATGGAGCTCACAGGGATATTGGGCACCCCTGGCATCCTCACCTCCCGTGGCACCAAATGGGTTTTGGGCTGGAGCACCCCAAGCAGCAAACAAAAACCCAGCTGAGGATACAGGAGCTAGACCTTAGGAAAGTCACCCTATATAATGCAAAACCTCAAGCTAATGAACCTCATTAAGAAACTCGTTAAGATGCTGCTGTCATCAAAGGAAGGAGAAGGGGCAACCTGGACCAAAGAGCTCAGCACTAGTTAAAAGCATCACCCCAAAATGAAGGGTGCTGGAACCGAGCAGCCTGTAAAGGACCTTCACTCACCTGCACGGTACCTGATGTCTAACTAGATTTAGTTTTTTCTTTTAAGAGTTTATAAACTATTTTCTTTTGAATTTTTGACTTCACTGAAGCTACGAAACTGAGGTGCAGAACCCATGGCTCTCAGGCTCAGCCCCAGCCTTTTTGCCAGGGTCCCCACACTGCACAGGATGCTCCAGGAGAACTCAGCAGCAGGGAGGATGCCCACATCGCCCCCTCCTCTGCCAGGTGGGACATGGGCACATCCCCCAACCCCTGCATCACCCTCACCATGCTTCACCCAGCTGGGGCCGAGCTTTCAGCACAATACAGCCCCAATCCTGGCTTGTTTCATGGCCCAGGATCCGAGCCCTTTCTGGAACATTTCTCCTTATAGCGCACACTTTCCTGTTTTCCCACGGGCTGCAAAATGCAAAGTTTTTTTTTTTTTTTTTTCACTTTGCTGTCAAGCTTTGGCTAGAGACTTGTTTACGGGACCTACAAAGCAGGGAAGCCAGATAGTGCCACTTCTCTGCTAGTTGCTCAGCTAGGGAGGCACAACATTTAATGCGATTTTGGGAATTTAATGAACGGGAAGTTAATGGCTGGGAGGTGTTCTGAAAGCAGGAGGGGACTGATGCTATGGGAGGATGCACCCTTTCTGTGGCCATTTCGGGATGCAATTGGCATTTAGCACTAATGAGGCTGCCGATCATTATCACGCCCAAGGGAATCCAAGGAAAAGAGTGGGAGAGATGTGCTGGCTCACCAGCTCCAGGGAGTGAATGCCTGGAGAGGACCACGAATGATGCCAAGCTGTGATGTCTGCTCACCCTGTAGCTCGCTGGTACATCCCTGTGCACCATCATTTTGCAGCCTTACAGCCCCGTTTCCACAAACCCCTGTGGCACAGCTCGAACTAAGCAGGGGGAGCAGCTCCATGCAGTGAGACTGTGCCCAGGAGGAGGAATAAAGCCTTAAACACCATAAGCCACCTTGATGCTTTGCGCTCCGAAATTAGATTTGGTCAAGCTGATATCATATTTTTTATATATTCCATGAAAAATCTGGTGAGAAGTTTTCCCAGGGCTGACATGGCAGTGGGTTTGGGCACTGCGCGGGGCTGGTAAGGGGATGCTATCAGGAAGGGGTCTCCTGCTGTAGCATCCAGGCCATGAGCATCCTCATCCTCAGCATTCAGGGCAACATGGCCAAAAAAAATCATGGCTTCCTCTGGTGTCTGGGCAAAGAGCACTTCCACCCAGCAGCAGCCCAAGCAGGAAGGCGATGGCCATGAGATGGCAGCACAGGGGTTCTCCCTCTTCCAGGAGCTCAGCGGGTGCTAGAGGGAGATGATACAAACCTTCTCCAGGGCTGCCAGGCAGGGCCACCAAAAAGCCACAGGGAATTTCAAAGCTGCTGTGGTCAGTAGGAGCCACTGTGCTCCTCTCAGTATGTATCTGAAGTGTTTTTAGGACTATGGTTCATAAAACTGCTCTTTGCATCTTGCCACCATACGGTGAAGTCAGTGCTAGTCCCTCTGGGGCCTGCTGAGGTTCATGAACAGCTACTTGATGCTGTGAAGCATGAGCTATGAGAACAGCCCTGGTGTGACAATTTCCCAATGCTTACGTTGCCCTGGCAGTGCTGAGGTCCAAAACCCAGAACATTATAACCCCCAAACCACCATTAAAACACCCCAAATGCACAGCAGTCAGGATCTCACCAGCCTTTAAGATCTCACCAGCCGTGTGGTATTGGCTCTTGCTCCTGGCCATAAAGCTAAAAACTCAACCTATTTATAAATTATTAATAAATTCCATCTTCCCTATTGCAGGAAACCCATAGTTTCCATACTAATGTTTCTGAAGGTGGGTATCCCTCAGAAAAAACGCCAAGAATTTGGGTACCCACCAGGAAAAGGGGTCTTGGTCTATACTCTTGGGTTGGTTTTTGACTTTCCCTTACCTTGGAAATACATCTTACCACTCACTCATCCTACAGAGGGTTTGAAACAAATGCAATAGAGGTTTTTGCTCTTACTTTAGGGATTTATGAGCTGATTTAGGATCAAGGAACACAAAATAAATAAATTATAATAAAAAAAAGACTCCCACCTACTGTGCTTCTTTGTCACTCTATAGCTGGATGTCACCCTCACTTTTTTTTTTTAATTATTTTTTGAGTTTTGGGGTGAACTTCAGGCCTCTCTGCAGTCAAAGGCAATGCTTCCCCATTAGCTTTAAAGAAAGATGGTTTCACCCTCTAAAACTTTCCATTGCCTCTGTTCTGAGACCTAGGCTGGCTGAGTGGGTCCCTCCACATGAAGAAGTCCTCATGGGTTTCTTCTGTTCCTGCCATGTCCCCCACTGGGTGACACTGATGAGCGTGGATTTGCATTTACCATTTTACATCCCAAAAGTTTTTGCCTCTTATTTTGAGGGAATTACTGTGATCTCTTGTAGGCTCACATGCTCAGAGTGCCACGGCTTGCCAGCTGATTGCTAACAGCAGCCCAGCAGCTAATCCTACAGAAAAATCCCAAAGGATGCTACTTACACAGGTTTTAGCTTCTTTCAGATTTATGATGGGCCATGTGTCTTGGATCTGGTCTTTACAAACGATCTGGAAAGACACAAGAAATGCAACTGTCAAACTGTTGGCATAGGTTGAATGAACATTGACACTGATACAACAATCTGCCCCAAACCATGAGCCAACCCAACCAAAGCCCTGATCTGCTTTTTGGGGGCAGGACAGGCCCAGCAGCCCTCCACTGTGTGATAAGAGTTCTCCTGGGAAACTCGAATGGTTGCCTGGGGGATGCTTGCTAATTCACTTCCCACACCTGGCTTAGGATTTGCAGTATGGGGCAAAGTGGGAATTGGCTCGGGCAGCAGGAAGATCCATGCCAGTGGGCTGTGATGAAGTTCTACCCCATAAAAGATGAGCGTCTAGAAACATCCCCTTCCTTCCCGATTAGCACCAGGGTTCATTCATTATCCTGGCTTACATTTTTAGACCCTCCCAAGCCATTTTCTGCAAGGTTTACACCAAATTGTAGTCTTTGCCCTCTCAGCATGTTCATTTCATTTCCCCTTTTTTCCCAAATTTCACTTCTTTTCTTTGGTCAGCACCCAAATTATGGTCACCTTCACCTCCATCCATCTCTGGAAAGTGATGCGTGAGAGAGTTTATCCACTCTTATTTTGCTGCCTCGTGTTTTCCAGAGGCAGATCTCTCTGACACAGGCACACACAGTGAGAAGGGCTGCAGGTTTTACACCTACATGGGATGCCAGCTACAAATTAATGTGACTTGAGGATAAAAGTTGAGTTTGGGATTGTGCTCCCTACTCAACAGAGCTGGTTCAGGAAAAGCGAGCCCCCTTTTTAGCCATGTTCTGGACACCACCACGAAGTGCCCACCTTCCCATGGGTGTCATTACCTCATTTTTGAAGGAAATATTAGGGTGCTGTTGGTCAGGCCTGCTGCTGATCGTCTGGTCCCCCTGGGCTGGTGCTGACGGCTGGGCACTGCTGGGGCTCTGCTCAGTAGCTCCGGTTTTGTCTGGCACAAGTCCTTGGCTTGTGCGGTCTGGGTCCCCAACATACACCAAAAAAAACAAGAGGACAGACACTGATTACAGCAGAGAGGATACAGCTGACATAGCTCCATTTGTGAGAGGCTGAAAATGAGTTTCCAACTCCTGCCCTGCCTCGAAGCTCCTCACTACTCCTAGCAACTTGTGGAAAGGCTTTGGGTTGCTCCTGTTTTAAAACAAAAATCGCATTGTTGATGATATTTTCTACTGCCGAAAGCCATCAGACTCTTCGATGGCTGTGTATTGATAGCTGGGAAATCACTGAAAAAAGAGGTATTGCTGGGCAAATGGGATGGCCCTCATTTCACCTTATCTGGGCTTCTTTCTTCTACAACATCTAGAAGTCTACAACAGAGGTAGATTGAGCTGGCTACCCAGGGTCTCCAGTTAATGGAGGTCAGCATGCCACCCCCCGACCACTGTTTCTTGTGCAAAGGGAGTAATGCAAGGAGCACAGCAGCCTCCTGCCTCCACAGAGCCTTTCAAGGATTTGCATCCCCTGGTTCCTAATTGATCCTTAAATGGTGACAAAGAGAAGTAGAAAACTGCATCCTGTTTACAGCCTGTTTCCTTTTCGGATTCCTGCCTCTTTCCTAGCAAAGATGAGGGATATTTTCTTTTGGACACCTTGTGGAGACTCCAGGGGAGAATTAATTTCAAAAAAAATATTTCTGTTTCATTCTCTCACCTCTGTATTGAATGCAAAGATTTCTTAACCCCTTCATGTTCACTGTTCCAAGCCAAATTTGAATTAAAATCATTTCCTAGTCCATCCTTTACTGAAGAATAGTCCTCTGAAGCATGAGGGGAAAGAAACCTTTATCCTTTATCCAGAATCCTTTATGAAGGTTCATGGAACCTTCTTCCTTCTTGACAATTCAAGACTCATGTCACCTATCCTTAACTGCTAGCTTGAAACATGGCTTGGAGAAACCCAGTGCAGCTGGTGTTGCAGTAAGACCTTGGCCCGTTTCGTGATGCTGGCAGCAAGGAGCTGGGAGGCTGAGAGGGAAGGAGATGGGTTTTTGAGTGGCTTCTGCATTGCAGATAACGGGAAACTGGGTTGACTAGATATTCCCCAGAGGAGGATAATGAAAGGTTTCAACAAAATGCCACAGGGGAGATGGAGCTGTGCCTCAGCAGTGAACTAACATGACTTAACAAAGCTCCAGAGGTCTAGAGCAAGCATATCAGTGGTGTTCAGCAAGGTCCAAAACACCATGTGGGCACTGCTAATGCTACTCAGGCAGAAGTCAGCAGACAAAACCCTGCGGCCATCCTACCTAACTGCTTAGAGTCTTTTGGGGCTGTAGACTCAGAGTTGAGCCACAAAATCTCCTTAGTCATCATCTAAAGCTTATTTTCTGTGCCTGCCCAGACAGCCTTCACTAAGCTGTTAGCCCTGTCAGGGACCCTCTTCGTTCAGCATTTGGGGTGCCATCAATCTGTTTTGTCAATGCCCTGCCTCTGAACTCATCGCTGCTGCCTCCCTTTTGCAGTCGCTGAAGATCGAGGCACTGCAGTCAGCGATGCTTGGGGTTTGGTCCACCTGAAAGCAGATGTCCGTGCTTTCAGATGATCCATGCCTTGAATTACAGTGACTCGACCTCACTAACAACAGGGACCCAAATGTCTAGGTGTCATGGAAAAAACTATGCTGGAAAGTCCTGAAATGAGACGAGGCGATGGCACCCCACTGTGACAGGAGGTGTATAGGATAGACAAAGGAAAAGACCACATAAGGGCTTCCTTCCCCAAGAAATCAAGCTTCTAGTCTTCTGTTACCTGCGCGAGGAGTCGTTGTGGTGGCAACATCTGGGACCTTTCTTGTGGTGCCAGTTGGTGAAGACGGAGATGTTTTACCAGAGGCAGAGGACACGGTTGCAGCAGAAGGGGTAGAAGAGGCCGGCCCGTGGACTGGAGAAGCAGGAGAAGAGTCAGACTGGTTGGTGACGGATGGGGGAGAAGAGACATTGTGGTTCTTGGTGCTGGGTGGAAGGTTGGCTTGTGGGTCTGAAGTGCTCCCAACATTGCTGGTCAACTGGCCCGAGGAGCAGCTCACGTTACCCACGCTGCACGGAGTTGTCGTGACAGTAGCCACTGAGCCCGTCGAGGTGGTTGGGGGGCTGGCTGGCTGGGTGGGAACAAGGTTTCCTGTGGGCTTGGCTCCCGAGGTGGCTGCAGTGGTGGTATTCTGCTGGGTGGTGCTGGTGGATGCCACAGGGGTGGTCGTGGAGTTGGTCAAAGGGTGGACCTGAAGAGTACTGGGCGATGTGGTGGTGGTTGGTGTAGAGCCACCCTGCTTGTCTGTGGTCGTTTTGGCTGCAGTTGGGGCTGCTGGTTGCTGGGTGGTGGGTGACCTTGTCAGATGGCTTGTAGCGGTGGACTTCGGAGGAGGTGTGGGTGACATCGTAGTGGTAGAGGGTGTTGGGCTTCCCGTTTTGCTTGTGGAGGCTGCCTCTGAAGCTGCAGAGGGCAACACCCCGGGGTTGGGAGATTGTGTGCTTGGCTTGGTCGTGGAGTTCTCTTGAACGTTGCTGGTGGCTGTGGAGGTGGTGGTCTGCTTACTTTCTGGGATCACTGTGGCCGTCCCAGGAACATCGTCAGAGCTGACATCTAGGGAAAAGCAGAAAAGCCAAGATAAACTTTGGGCTAGGGGAACTTCCTTCGGTTTCCACCCAAAACAGGTATTTGCAGAGAAAAAAACGCTGAACAGAAACCATGAGTCATCCACTCGGAGCTTGTCTCACGCTCTCTAAACTCTCACAGGGTGCTGCGTTATGGCATCGATTTGGCCAGCAGAGCAGGAGGGCACGACCTGCTGGCACCCAGAAGTCAGGTCTGCCTTCAGGCAAGGTGCATCGCCTCTCATACCGGTTGTTCCTGAACAAAAAAACACCCAACAACAAAAAATATCCAGCCCTTCTAGGAGACGTTTTTAAGGAAAAACCTTTCCTTTAAGGAAAGGTTGGATGTGGTGCTTAGGGACATGGTTTAGTGGGTGACATTGGTGGTAGGGGGATGGTTGGGCCAGATGATCTTGGAGGGCTTTTCCAACCTTAACAATTCTAGGAGAGCAGCTAAGGGACACAACGGGTGCTGTTTGGCTGACCCTAAGGGTCTCAGAGGTCTCTGTAGTGGCGAGGAGCTGCAGATAAATGAGGTGGACCCTTCCAACCACTTTGGAAGTTTTATTATTTTTGCAAGCTTAGCGTTTGCTTCTTTCATTGTTCACATTTCAAATTATTTTTCTCCTAAACTCAGATGGTTACTATGAAAAGCAACGCAAAATAGGCACACGCATCTACTCACAGAGCCAAACTTTGTACAGGCAGAAATCCCCAGCTAGGTGAACTATGGAAAGAATATTTATTCTATTTGCTCCAAAAGAATGGGTCAACACTGGACTGAGCTTGCAATTAAATGCAAAAAAACATTTACTTGGAGCCACATCATTTTAATTTCAAGGCTGTTCGATTCAGTTATCCATTGCAAATTTTATCACCAAATTACAATCATTTGCTTGTTAAGCTTATTTTTGCTGTTCCAAAAAGCCCAAGAAGTTCATAAAAAAAGTCAAAAGTTAGTGTTCAGTTTCATATGGAAATGTTAAAAAAAAATAAAATAAAATGCTTCATTTAGGTAGAAAAGGGAAAAGCAAACCAGGAAAGGAAGGGCTCCATCTACATGTACCATGCAAATCCTGAACACCATGACAAAAGCACAGCCTGAACCCTAAAATTCCCACGTGTTTTCCTGCGGTCTCTATCCCGCATTTGTACGTCCCAAAGCATGATATAGAAATGCTACTCGTGTCGTGGCTTGGTTCTTTTTGGGGAAAGCCGTGAGAGCTGGTGTTACCTCAGTGGGAACGAAGTTTGGTCTCATTGCAAAGAGCATTGCCCATTGCTCGTTTATCACACAGAATGAGATCTGCAGTTGATTTCTGAAGAATAATTTAAATTCTCAAATTATTTATCCTTTTCTGAAGTGAGGGGCACCGCTGAAGGACAGGTTACATGGCAAAAGAGCTCTCCAACAGCAGCAACTTGCTGCAACACTCAAACATGCTATACACACCACGAGACTGGATGCAAAATTTGGGTCCTTTTTTTTCTGTTTGTAATCACAGCAGGAGCTCTATCAGTCACCGCAGAGATAACCTTCCCCTTTGCACACAGTAACTCCCAGCTCTGGGCACTTGCTCAAATTTACCCCAGGAAAAATTTCAGCTAATTTTTCACCCTCCAGAAACTGCAGACTGCCCTGCACCAGTGCACCTGCACGGAGTCAGGAAACCAACCCGATTTTGGGGGGCTATGTTTCTTACATTTGATGATAGCTCAAAACAGGGCTATTTTTTTGCCCCGTGCCCCCCCTTGTATATCATTTCCAACTGCCCAAAATAGGAGTGAAACTTCCCAGGATAGATTTTTAGCAATTTCCAGGCACTGCTCTTGAGATGTTAATTCCTCTATGCTGGCTTACTGGCAATGATGTTTTTTTTTCTTTTGCAGAGCCTGTTTATTAGCACTGCTTGTGCTTCAAAGATCTGATGGAAGCTCAAGTTTCTGAGATTTGTACCACTGGGGAAATCTAGCCTGGATCAACCCTGCCAAGTCAAGGCCTGGAGGCTGGAGGCACAGACAGCACCTGGGGAATGGGGTCTGGGCTGGGGAGCTGTGGCAGGTTTGGGCTCATCTGAACAGGGAAACGGCAGGAGAAAAGATGTGCAGACAATGCCATTCCTATTCCTGTTTCCCCATCAGCCACCAGGAGCAGCCATTCTGCAAACACCACTGAGATGTGAGCTTAGCAAACCAAAACAGGATGAATTATTTTAGGGGCTTGCAAGGAAACACCTGCCCTACACATACAGGAAAAGATCATTTATAATTTAATTATAATTATAATTTATAATTATAATTTATAATATTATAATACCTAGAAAGTCATAGGTATTATTGGACTGACCACTGGCTGCAGGAGAAGAAAAGGAGAGAAAGCAAAACGCAGGTGTAAGATGTGGGCACCCAGAAGAGGAGACCTAGGTGCAAAAGACAGGAGGGAGTTTTATTCCAGCTACCTTCTTAGCTTAACTTTCCTGGCTTGAATTCTCGGTGACAGCTGCAGCAAGCTAGAGAGATGGCATCCAGTTAGCAACAAAATGGATCTACCCCATAAATAGGGATGTAAAAGCCAGACAGGGGCTCTGATGTCAAGGGGAAAACTACCCACACCCTAGTGGTAGAAAGAGTATTGAAGAGATGTCAATAAAGAAAGGGTCGGAAGGAAGGTGGAGGAAATCTCCCACTGCTGTCACTTCCTTTTCTTAACCTGTCCCTGTCCCAGAGAGGCAGGAAGCAAACGTGTTGAAGAAAAAGTAGAAAGGGCAATTCAATTCAACTCTGTCCAAAAGAGAAAGGGGCAGGTCCATGCCTTGGCTCCGGCACAGTCTTGGTGGCCAGCTGGGACCCCATGAACCATGTGAAGCTGTCCCATCACTTCTCTGTCCCAACCCAGGGAGCTGCAGCTGTGCTTTTACCACTTTCAGCAGAAAATGGGGGAAAAAGCCTAAAGCAAGGCATCTTTCTGCTGACAGAGAAAAACTGTGTGATCCTTCAAGCTTGCCCCCACGGTCCTTCATTCACACAGGAAGATACATCCTGAGAAAGCACTGGGAGAAGAACCAAGACTTGAGTTGATTTCCACAAAGCTTAAACAGACTTCATCTGTTTGTATCTCTCCATTCAGCGTCAGTGTCCCTCTCCTGTCAAGGTCAAGAGATGTTAAAAGATTAGAATCACGGAATCATAGAATCATTTATTTTGGAAAAGACCTCTAACATCATCCAGTCCAACCGTTAATCTAGCACTGCCAAGTCCACTATAAGCCATGTCCCTAAGCACCACATCTACACATGTTTTGATGACCTCCAGGGATGGTGACTCAGCCACTTCCCTGGGCAGCCTGTTCCAATGCTGCACAACCCTTCCAGTGAAGAATTTTTTCCTAATATCCAACCTAAACCTCCCCTGGCACAACTTGAGGCCATTTCCTTGTGTCTTATCACTCGATGTTCGAAGATGCTGAGTGCCACAGCGGTGGAAATTTCTTTCCTTTCATGGAGACCTGCATCCCTTTGGCAAGTGGCAACGCAAAGGGCAAGTCAGAAAGCACTTCATCACACTGCTCCCTTCCTACAGACCCATGCTTGCTGGTACAGACTGGATGGGACCACTGGGAAGCCCTTGGTACGAGATCGCCCATCCCAAACTTGACCTGAAGGTGATGCTATTTTCCTATTCTCCACCTTAGCTCAGCTGAGCTGCCACCATACTTTCCATGGCTACAGCTGGGTGAGATCCTCTTTCCATGGAGGACTGGCACCTGTACCTATCCCCAGATCTGTCCCACAGATTTTTAGGCACCCACCTGACAGTGAAATTTACCTTTGCTCTGCAGCTGCATAAAATTTAACTCTTTTCTCACTGCTCTTGCACAAGGTGCCAGATGCTGCTGTCGTCTCAGGGCTGCACATATATATATATATTTTTTTTTTTTGGTTTTATTGCTCCTGGGATTAGTAGTTAGCTGTTTGCCCAGGGTCTGTGCCTCATGGCAGCATTGGTATAAAATGTATTTTATTTAGACTGAGGAAAAACAAATCACATTTTTGGTGTCTTACTGGTCCACCGCCAGCAGAAGGCATGGCTTATTCATACTGCAGGCTCTTCTTTTTCAGAAGCTTACAAAATACTTAATCCCAAAGCAGAAAGAAATACAAAACAAGCAGTGAGAGCACTGCAGGCCCAGGGGTGACTGCTTTACTACCACGTGTGCTATATGTAACTGTTGTTCTCCCCTCCCTCTTGCCCAGATGCCCTTTCCAAATCTCCTTGTTGGACCCAGGGGTAATAACTGGTAATGAGCCCCCGTTTGCCTGGGCTGGTGGCCAGTGGGGCCTGATGAGTGTCCTCCACAGAAGAAATGAATAGGATCTGGTTGAAACAGAAGAGAGAAAACCCCTGCAAGCACGGGCTGACAGCAACAAAGGACAGACAGGACAGGATTATGTTCGGTGCCCCTTTAGCATGAAGATTACTCACAAAAGATACAGTATGTCCTTCTGCGGGAAAAGAAAGGCCCTTTCATGCCGTGAGCCCCAGAGATAAAAGGATTTAATGCACACTAAGAGAGAGGATGGAGAAGAAGTCCTGTAGGCTATCACGCTCCTTACCAGCACGAGGTCCTTCCCCAAAGCCTGAAAGTTCACTTGAATTTCAGCCAGGTTCCCTCACCCTTGTTTTTGAGAAGGCAGAAAATAAAAACAACCCTACCTGTCCTTGACCTTCCTGGCTGCATTTTGGCAGGGCAGGGCTGATTATTTAGTTTCACTTTTTGGACCAACGTCACTTCTTCATTTTAAGGAAAACGAGCATAGCACAGCAGCTATCGCTGTATTTTGACACCACGGGTTTCAGTGTACTCAGTGCACACTCTCCTCTTGCAGGTAACACTGATAAAAACAACCCAAAACCTTTCATTTCTGTGCTGGGCAACAGCAATCTGCCTGATACCTCTCTGCAGGAGCAAAGCTCGAGCCTTCCCCGTAT